AGCTGGAGCACTCGGTGGTGCCGGATACCACAGTTACTAGCACGCCTTGACTGAGAGATTAATTATTAATTGAAGGGGTCTTATGAATTTTTCAGTATTTTCCCTGATTGTGCATTACAAAGCGAAACCATCTTTCCTCAGACAAAGATCTCTCCTAAAGCCCTACATCAAAGCTGCAAAATTGTCACCCGTATTGTGATCTTGTTCAGCCTTCACATCCGGCGTGTTTGCTTTGAAATATTTAATCTGCCGTTTGCTGAGCTACATGGCTCCCGGCGCGGCAACGGACGAGAGCCCTGAAGCTTTCTCCTGGGGGCTTCTGGCACCAGTGGCCACGCACAACACAGCTTTTGGGCTGTGTTTTGGGCAGGTGGGTGACCACACCAGTGCTTCAGAGGCTTCCCAGAAGCTCAGCATTTTAGGGGAAGCATTTTTGGGATTATTAAAACAGTGCATTGGAAAATCAGTGCGACCACTGAGCCAGTTTTAGTTAATGATTTTAGGAGGGCTTAAGCTGCAGGTTCAGCTCTCTGTGTCAGTAACCTTCACTTATTTCAGCTGGTCAGGGTTTGGCAAAGCCCAGCTCCGCAGCAGCACCAGCGCAGCGCTGGGTGCCAGCAGGGCTCAGCCAGGCCACAGGCAGGTCAGGCACCTAGAAAATCGACGTGGTTTTGTTTCTGTTCCCCATGAAGCACAAAGGAGGTTCCTGTAACATGGTGTATGTGTTGCCAGTGGATTTAAAGTGTGGTTTTCCATCAGCAACTGGTTTGTGCTCTGCAGAGGCAGCACAACCATCCTCTACGGGAGGGGAAATGCTTTCCAACAGGCCCCAGCAATCGGGACTTGGTGACATTTGCTCCCAGTGCCAGGAAGTGGTGTTGGCATTAGCAGTGACTGGCAGGGAGGGGTTAGACCCTTACGTGGTCCCGGTGCTTTCGGGCTCCTCTCCCGTGGCTGGTGACAGTGACGCCGACAGTGCCTGTCACTTGGGCAGCGCGCTGTAACTGCCAGGCTAATCGCTGCGCGTTGCGTCCCGTCCTTATCAGTCCTTGTAGCTTACAAACTTCTTTCTGTTGGCTCTGTCACTGCGGTGGCTTGAAGCTCAGAAGCTTCGTGGTGCTGAAAGCACAGTATTTTGGTCTGCTCCCCTAACGCTTATAAAAATCACGTGTAAAAATCAGTCCCCATTAAACTGTTAATGCCCTTGGAGTGCCCGTGGCTCTTTTTGGGGCAAGCCAGGGCTGCGGCTTTAAAACTCCCAGGGCTCAGCGCTCCAGGGAGGTGAGGGGGAAGCACAGGGTTTAGGCAGGGATGGGGTAGGGCTGGTGCATCTTACTGCAGGTCTTACAGTTTCGTTAGGCTGGTTTGTTTACCTTCTCCTCCACCTTTAAGAGGCACAGGGATTACCTGCTGCCCCTTTGGGATACCACGAGGAAAGGTCTTTGTTTCAGAGGGGAGGAAGCCAAGGGGCTCATACGGGCGCCTGGTTTTACCGCCGTGCATTCAAAATCACATCATGAGCATCTTCAACTTCTTTTATGTTACTAGTGCCCATTAAAATTTATTCCCAATTAGCAGTTTATATGTAAGAAATTGTCTTGTGCAACATCCTTTCCTTGCAGTTGAGCAGTCACCATGTGGTTAAAAGCAGGCATATGCCCTGCGATGCATTCAGTGACAGACTCGCTGTGATTCTGGGAGGTTTTGGGCTCCGCTCAGAATCTAATCTGCATAATTTTATTTTATTTTTATTGTTTTACTTTAACAACTGTTACACCAACGTAGATAATCTCTGCAGGGCAAGCAGAGAGAAATAATATTGTGTGCGGGTAGACGTATGAAAACATCTAATTTACCAGCAGGCAGTTGGGTAATGATCAGTTGAGAATTGCAAATTATATACGTCATATATTTGTGACATGCTGCTGAAGAAAGGCCCGGTGCATATGACAAATCATATATACACTGAAATTTATAATACTTTTCACATTTAATTGACTGGGGCAACCTTATGATTTATATCTTTGCTTTATTCATAGCATACCCATAACATAGTCATAATGCAGAACGAAACTAATTCAATTTCTCCTTGACTTTGTAAATCATTTATATATTTGGCTGTCAAGTATTTGAATATAAAGTGGGCATGCATACGGCAGAAAATAAATAGCTGATTCTCTAGTTAAGAAATTGAGTTTTAATGATGTTAGGGTCTACGCTGCCCTCCTTGGACATTTGGCATTGCTTAGATAGCAAGGATTACATTTGTCCCTTGCCTTATTTCGCAAGCAGAGCATGTTTTATGGGCACCAGCCCTGCTCTCTTAATGGCCCTATATAGCGTTATGACTGTGTAAAACCTCCTCAGCTTGCTCTGATGTCAGCAGGAGCAGCGAGTGACTGAGCTGCTGGCTCTGCTGCTCCTCGTCACGAGAGCTCAGCTCAAACTGGCCAGGACTGCAAACACCAGGACCGCACACGCCGACTGCAGGCGGGGGCTGTCTCGTTAGTCCTGCTCGTTGTGTAACAAGGAGGAGATGTTCTGATGAGTTTTTGCCATGGAGCTGTTATGCAGTCATTGAAAACACAGCCTGGCGATGCTCTTGGTTTCTTTTAAGCACTGGGTTATCGGGCTTGGCCGCATCGCTGCGTTGAGAAGCTCTGGAGAGGAGCGCCTTCGCCACTGGACCACCGCTGAGCAGGTGCCAGGGGTGGTTATTGCCTCCCCGGAAAAATAATCTTCCGCAGTCAGATCTCTCCATGACACAGTTTTTGACACCTGTGGCATCGCTAGAAAACATCTGCAAGACCGAGATAGTGCGGGGAAGTGTGAGACAGCGTGCTGGCTCGTTATCATACCGCAACAACATCTCTCCTCCTGCAGCATCCTTGGTTTCTAAATTTAGCCTGGGAGTTATTTTGGGTAATGTGTGATTAGCCTCAATTACTGCAGCTCGGATGGAATTCAAATAGTGCCCCCTTTTTCAGAGCTGCAAAGCCATGGAAATCTGGGATCGTGCATTTCCTACCCTCAATTAAGCAGCTCTGAGGTGCTCGCACAGCAGGGGAAGTCAGTCGTGTGATGCTTTTGCTCGTGGAGGAATTACTGGTGGGATTAATCCCAAAAGGTGCTGGTAGTTCCTGGCTCCATGCTGCTCTTGGGATCAGGAATATAAAGATGAAGACAGCAGGCTAGGAAGTGCAGCTGGAGTGAGTGAGATCTGGGTGGCCAAGCCAGAGCTCATTGAAGCTTCAGTGGAATTTGGATCAGGATCTAAAACTGTGCAGCTTTCCAGCTTGAATTAAACCTGTAACAGAGGCTTTCAACAACTAACCAAAAATATATTTTCCCTCACTCTCAGCCATAACGAATGTCAGCTCTCTGGAAAATCAGCTGTGGTGAAGCAATATGCGAATGTCCTCCACAGACAACTGTGGGTCTGGGGGGAATCAATGTATTTTGGCACGTGCTTGGGAACCTCGGACAGAAGAGCTCGTAACTCGCCAGGCTGAGAACAGAAACTTCTGTCATTGCCGTGGCTGGAACTTCGCAGACTGCACTGCAGCAGCCCAGCAGCTGTTCTGCCAAGTAGTTTGTCTCCAAAGGAGGATAAAACACAGGGAGGTGGTGAGAGCGACCCCAGGCCGGCGTAAAAACCTCATGGACGTGCGGCTGTCGCTGGAGAGCTGACACACAGCAGCCTGTGGCTGTTCTGTGTGCTGTAGCCAGAAGGAGTCAGTCCTGTGAAGCCACGGGGGATCCCCTCAGAGCCCACGGCTGCTCCAGGCACAGGTCAGGAGGCTGCTGTCTGCAGGCAGGATTTTAGAAAGGGGCAAAGATGAACTTGGAGCTTTCAGAAAGCGATTGGTGAGCGCTGAGCTTGGGTCTGTGAGTGGCCTGTCTCCTCCAGCAGGAGCCAGGAAGCAGCGCTTGGTTTGGGAGCCAGCCCTCCCTCGTGGAGTTGTGTTTGCAAGATGAGGTGAACCAAATCGGTGAGGTTTCTCACCAGGCTGAGCGTGGTTTCGCAGCTCCCGGGTGGAGCAGTGCCACGACTGCCCTGCTGCCAGCTGCTGCTGCACTTTCCTAGCCCTGTGCTGTGGCCAAAATGACCCTGAAGGGGTCTAGAGACTGCTTGGAGTGGTAAGCTGCTGTAAAATTGCTGCTTCATTACAGCAGCTCTCGGCTTCTTTGGGGTCTGGTTTTGATTTTGTGCTTTTTTGTTGTTCTGTAATTTACGTCTGTGCATTCCCCCTAAAATAACGTATCTATCTCCGAGTCCTACCAGTGGCAAGCTGCTTGCCACAGTCACCTGTGTCTTACCCATGTGCTGCCATTGCTAGCTTAGCAGGCAGAAGCAACTTCTTGCCCTCAGAGGACGTTTCAGGGCCAGGCAGATGCCACACACCAAACCACGGGGCTGTGCGTGGTGTTGCGGAGGTCTCTGCTGAAGGCTGGGTGCATGAATCGGGTGCTAGCACGCGGCTGTAGCAACAGGGAGGAAAGGGAAAGAAAATAAGCAAATGCTGTTCGTTTCTGCTGAGTCTTTTCTGGCTGCTTCTGTCTTTCTCTGGATGCCAAGCAGGGGCAGGAGGGTGTCTGCTTGTTGTGGTGTGTCCTGTCCACAACTGCAGCTGCCCCAGCACCAGGGCATTGCTGCTGAGTCGCTGCGCGACCGCTCCTCAGTCCAAATTCCTAGCCAGAGTACTTCATCACAATTGCTTCGTCTAATCCTTGGTAAGAAAGGGAAGAAATGAGGGGAATTAACCTTGAAGAAGAAAAGAAGGCAGGTCCTCGCCCAGGTAGGCTGTGGCTTCCTGGCTGCAGGGCTGGTCTCGTGGTTGAGGGCTTCCACCCCTCAGTCCCCACTGCGTAATTCCAAGCTCTGGTGAACCAGCTCACAGGGGCACCGCAAGTAACGGGAGACACTGAGCGGCTTCTGAAGGTGCTGCAGGGGTTGACTTTTTAACCTTGATTTGTTTTTTTTTGTTGTTTTTGTACAGCTGGACAACCCGGACGAGCAAGCGGCACAGATCAGACGTGAGTTAGATGGGCGTCTCCAAATGGCAGAGCAAATTGCTAAGGTAAAATAAAAAATCTTCTGTTTTAACGAGTGTACAAGTTGTTTGTTGCTGTTCCCAGGTCCTGTCGTTCCCTCACATGTTTCTTTTCCCAATAATCACCAGTTCAATGTGAGCATTTCTTTAACTGCAAAGAAAGAACAATTGCAGATGCTGCTGTTCTGTGACTTTGCTGGAATGTCCCTGATGAGCTGGGCAAGTTCAGGTGCCTACAAAATGTTTAGGTGCCTGATGAGTCCTCAGCAGTGGGGAAGAAAATGTCCTTAACTGCGACAGCTAGATGTGCAAGTGCACAGCTGAGCCCTGTTTGTCAAATTTATATGCTGAGTAACAGGGCGGGTGATGGCATGCAACGGGAAGCCAGGAATTGCACTGCAGGGGTTTGTGCTGTTCAGTGGGCTGCTGGGAGCCACAGTTCCCTGCCTGCAGGTAGACACTGCCGCACTAAAGGTACTTTAGATTTGCTGTCCCAGACGTGTTCATGTTTTGCATGAGAACATTGAGGCCAGCATTGCCCCCCTATGGGCATCACCGCCACCTAGAGCAGCAGATGGGGGAGCTCCAAACAGTTTTTGTAACCAAGCACTCAGCAAACTGCCCAAGGAACCTTCTGTAAGGAGACATCTCCCTTGTAGCAAATTGCACCCTCACATGGTGCAGATTTACCTGGCCTCTGATAGACCACATGCAGAGATCCTGTTGACATCAGCATGGCCAAGATTTTATCCTCGCCTCTAATCAGATGCCCTGAGTCACAAATAAAGCCATAATGGGGCTGAAGACATTAGGAATGATCTATCTGGCTTCTTGATAATCGGGAAACTATTCCCAGAAGGAAAACAAAAAAGGTCCCCAAGGTCCCCCAAGGCTAGGGAGCTGCTCTCCAGCAGGCAGCCTCCCTGCGCAGTCTGTGAGGAGCTGAGCCCAAGTGCTGAGGCTTTTATGGGCAAAGTCATATCAGAGCTGTTTGCCACCTCACTGAAATCACCGAGTGTAAAAAGCACAGCGCATTCATTTACGGCCAGGTGTCTGCAAGGATGCCCATGGCACCTGCTTGCTCACTCCCCACTGACACTTAGGGAGCTGCTGGGGAGGCAGGTTCTGGTTTCCCCCACCTCACTGATAAATGCAGCAAGGCAGCCAAATGATGGCACGGCAAAGAAGCAAATAACTGCAGCTCCTTTCCTTTGTTCGGCACTTGGCCCCCTGCCATTTTATTTTCAAGACAATCTATGGGATTTTTTATTTGCAGTGAAATGTAAAGCCCCCGCGTGGTGCACTACTGCTCTGATTCTGAGGTGGGCAGCCAGGCACCGGGTGCCAAAATGAGATCTCCTGATTTTGTTGTTAGATTTTCTCTTTATGGCACGTGGGACAACAGCACGTATGGTTCAGCATCAGCCAGCAAAGGCTGCAGCTTCGTGAATTATTTTTGCAAACAAGGATTTGCCATTTCCACTCTCCCCCCCAAGGATGCTGAGAACAAACTGTGCCACTGCTGGCCTTGCGAGAGGCAGTCACGAGAAAGTCCTGAACGCAACCTGACATTTCCCAGTGCAGAACTCAACCTTCGAAATACAGCAGTGCCGCTGGGGGGGAGACTTGAGGTAAACACAGCCTACCTCTCATCCGTTTGGCAGGTATTGGTATTTATTCTCATTCACATTGCTGCTGCGGGCCCTCTCTCCCGAATGTCAGATCCCACCAGCGCCTGCCTACGAGAATCCTTCTTCTTTCAGACCCACGGACGCTGCCTTTCAGAGGCATCCAAATGACCTTTGAGTCCTTCTCCATATCCTCCTCCCTGGGCTGGGCTGCTTTCTCTCTAGCAAAGGGTAGGCGCTCAGTTCGGCTTTGCAAAAGGACAGCATTTGCAATTTCATCTCCACTTCGCAGCTTTTACTGCAGGTTTGCTGCAAGGGGAGACTTGCAGGGCTCAGGGAACCGACACTGAGGTGGCCCTCGCGCACACACACACGGCCTTCAGCCTGAGACCTTGAGGATCATGCCCGAAGCTAAGCAGATATTGTAAAGCTGACTCTGGACAGGCTTTTCACTCTGCTTGTACTTTTCCAGAAGCTAAACAGAAGCAGACTTGCAGCGGAGAGCTCAGTGGTGCCAAGGACGAGGTTTGTTTTTCTCTGCAGCCACATGTGAGCCACTGTCCTGTGGTGGCTTTCCCACCCAAACACCTGGCCTCGAGGGCAAGAAGGAGCACATCTTGGGGCAACTAAAAGAGACCTTGTGACGGCACCAGAGCAATTAGTCCATCTGTGGCTGGACCCACTCTGCTGCAGCCTGCTGGACTGGTTATTCCTTATACTATCTTAACACTTCCGCCCACATTTGTCCCCATTTCTGGGCCTCTCCCTTCTCCAAGTATGCATGGAGGTGACTGGCATTCTTTTTTGCTGTCGTCTCCACCCCTTGATCCTATATTCTTCTAGACTTCCCTCAGCTCTACCCCCAGTTAGCTGGGTAACTTGGTACCATCTCTGCATTTCCCTCATCAGACCCAATCCCTGGTGAACTGTTAGGCAGCACTTTGAGCTACCTGGTTTTAGCCTCAGTAGGAGAAGCTGCTGGTAGCACGCAAAGAAACATCAGTCCTTGCTGCATTGGTGAAGAGGTTTGTGGGGGCCGTGCCAAAACCGAGTCCCTGGAGAGACCGGTAGCAGCAGGGTGAGCAAGCAGTGATGTTTGAACATCATTGCTTCAGCAGTAGTTCTCAAAACCTAAACCAGTTGTGTTTTGTTGTTGTTGTTGTTTTTTTTTTCCTTTTCCTATAAGTGGCTTGCACCTTTTGTAATGCATATGCAGTAACACAGACCCATCAGGTAGCTTCTCACACAAGGTCTAATTTACATGAGAGGATTGCTTCCTGAGATGGAGGCTGGAAGCATGAGACTGTATTTTAACTGCTTGGTGTGAGTGCAGCCATGAGTGGGGCTTGTAATGGGTAAGCTGCTGAGGATTGATGCAAGGACTAGTGCCGTGGAGTATTTTTTTCAGCAGGCTTATGACAGCCTTGTGGAAGAAACATGACCTTGTTTTCTTCTCTAGCATACACTTTACGAACTGCTTTTTTATGAATTGCCACTGAGAAGATACTTTGCATGTCAGCATCGAGTTCTCAGGCTGCAGATGCTGCTTTGCTGTCGTGCACCTGGTGCAGCCTCATCACCCGCTGTGAGGTGTTCAGAGCCTGGGGAGGCTCGGGGATGGGCAGACCTGTCAGAAGACATAGGGCTTAGACCAGTGTGGGAAGCGATTCAACGCTGATGTTTTGGGAAACATCACATTTTTCTCTAAGTGTCAGCTTGGTTCTAATCTTTAACCATCCAGTGTAGTCCAATTTGTGAAGTTCAAAGGGTGTTTTACCCCTCCTTGCAGTTGGGACTATGCCTTCCAGCCCACACGTTGTCAGTTTTGCCTTCTTAGGCTCCTCTCACCTCTAGAAAACCAATGGAACAACTGCTCAGCAATGTTTTCACATAGAGCTGGCACATCTGAGAGACTGGGAAACAAGTCCCAGAACGCCAGCACCCTTTGATTTGTTAGTAAATTGCTGTCGGTCACAAAGCTCAGCTGAGATCAGGCCTGGGGTTTTGTAATTGTGAATTAACGTATATGAAGGAGGCCACGTGCAACCAGAAAAGCAACGAAATGTAAGTGCATGCAAGAAACAGTAAAGTTGGATAAGTAGCAAGCAGTAATTCTTTGGGAAGCTAACAGTAATGGTTCTGCATTGCACAGGGGGAAGCTGCAATTTGTCAGCTGGTTTGTGGCTGTTCCCTGCCCGCCGACCTCTCTGCAGATGCTCCTGGGGGGTTCTCCCAGTGCAGCAAGTGGTTGCTGCTCCTCACCACAACTCATCCTGTTGCTTTTGTTTTTGAATCCAAGGAGCGCAAGTTTCCGAAGTTTGTGTCCAAAGAAATGGAGAACATGTACATCGAGGAGCTGAAGTCGTCCGTCAATCTCCTGATGGCAAACTTAGAGAGCATGCCCGTGTCTAAAGGAGGCTCCGAGTTCAAGCTGCAGAAGCTGAAACGTAGCCACAACACCTCAATAATTGACATGGGAGAAGAAAACGAGAACCAGCTTTCCAAGTCGGACGTGGTGTTGTCGTTCTCCCTGGAGGTAAGCTTCCTGCTGTCTCTGCTCCAGCAGACAGCCTGCAGAGCTGGGATTAAAAATCTCAGCAGCAGCTTCTGCTGGGTTCAAGCGTAACAGTTAGAGGGAGAGAGGTCAGTAGAAGTCATTTTCTGATCTCCATGAGGAACAGCTCCTCTCTGAGTTACCAGGAGCTTTGCCTGCGGTCAAACACTATGTCCTTTCTGTTTTCTTACCATCTTGTTGGAAAAAAACAGTGTAAGATAAACCATCTGGAATTTCCTATTGCTGTATATTGGATGGCTTGGTAATCTGTGTATTTCACCAGCCTCTTCTTAAGGCTTGATTCTGAGTGTACCCCATAACCCTGGGCAAAACCCATCTCCCTGTATTGTCTCTGAAACCACCACAGTAATGCAGGGTTTGATCCAGACTCTAATTTTTATGTTCTCACACTTGCCTGGCTACTTCACAGTTTGTTTTCTGCAGCACGAAGGGAACAAAACCAGAACTTCAGGCTGGCAAGTCTGCCTGCATGACATTACAGAGGTTCCTCGTTGGCACGCCTAGTTCCCGATGTACTGAAACGCACTGTAAATGTCAGTGTTTAATTATTGCCACTTAGAGGTGTCACTTTATTTCTCTGCACGCCGTGCTTTCTCTTTGGAGAATTGTTAAAAATTGCTGGGCTTTGAATGCACCCAACAGATTGTGGGGAAGTGCTGGGCTTTGCTGGCTCGCTGTCTGCTTTGTGTCGAGCACAGAGTTCCTGCATTCAGGGGTTTGTCCGTGCACCCAGGGGAAGGCAGGGTGCTGCAGGGACCCACGTTACATCCAAACAGGCTGTCAGTCCTGGAAGCACTGCTGCTGCCGTGGCTGTCTTCAGCTGGGTTAATTGTTCTCTGCAAACATCTTGGTAGTCTAGAAAAGCCATTTACTCCACGGAGTCATCAGCATTTCAGACACACCCGTACAGAGTTGTTGACTGTCAAAGAGTGGGTTTGTTACATTGTCAAAACAACTATTAGGATGGGGTCAAAAATGTAGGATGCAGAGAAATCAGAAACTTCTATTTTTGTGTGGTTTCCCGTTTATTTCTCTCCCTAAGTCTCTTGTTATATACATGTATATTGTGCCAATGCAAACTTATAATGCTGGTTGTCCAGATTCAGTTTAACTCAACAGATGTCTGAAACCATCTCTCTAATACTCAGCTCATTCTCACTAAAAATAGAGCTGTGGACCCAGAGACAGTGCCTTCAGTGGCAGCATCAAACAAAGCCTGACTTCTGAGTGTCTCCATACAGAGGGAACGATCACAAAGCCCTAGACCTCTCTGTACAAAAAGCCTGTGCAGTGCCTATAGCCATACAAAAAGGGACTTGTCCTTGCAATGGGATGTCTGAAACACTTTGCTCCAGCTGAACCCCATCTGGTGGGAAGCAGGAGCCGAGTGAAGCACTGACTTCAGGAGCTGGCAGGTCTCTTCACTGCTCTGTGCGTGAAACTCTTGCTGCAAGAGAGTTTTTGCTCATCAGAGGGTTGGCGGAGTTCTGTGTTTGAGAGAAGGGCTCCTCGGTGCCAGGGCACATCAGAAGACTCAAGGAGAGGAGTTTTAAATCGTGTGTATGTATTTCATAGGTAGATGTAATAAAACATGAGCAGCAACTCCCACAGTGTTTCCTGAAGAAATGTTCAAGGTACGTGGTTAACAGGGTTAGCCAACTTTAAAGTTAAGGAGAAATTTCCTGCAACCACTTTGATGGCAATTTCTTAATCTTGAAAGTAGGCTTTTGGCACAGAGTGGGTGGCTGGATGTATGACCCCTCGGGATCAGCAGAGCGGGGTCTGAAGGAGGCTGCTCCTCTTCCACCACCTTTCTTTGCCCTGCAGGTTGTCATCATGGAGGTGCAGGGGCTGAAGTCGCTGGCCCCCAACCGCATCGTGTACTGCACCATGGAGGTGGAAGGTGGGGAGAAGCTGCAGACTGACCAGGCTGAAGCCTCGAAGCCGACGTAAGTCTCAGTTTGCCTTTTGCTCTCTCCACCATGCTCTTCTCGATCAAGTTGCTGCTGCTCTGAGGAGCTACAGATAACTCTGGCTCCTGCCTGGAGAGGCCAGAGGGGTCTGTGAGAACTTGTGGTGAGGGCTTCCTTCTGCAGAGGAGAAACGCCTTCCATGTACACAGAGCATCACCCCACGACTAAGAATGGCACGTAAGCCCTGATTGAGAAGGAAAAAAAGTGTTAATGACAGGCTTATGTCTCCTTGTAGCCATAGAGACATAAATTTGTGCCTATACGTAAGTGCTTTGCTAAATAGGGATGGAGTTAAGCAGCTGCTTAGATAAATACTCGTCTGAGTGTCCATCTGAACTGGCGCCGTCAGGTGTGGGTACATAATCGCCTCCTTGCTGGCAGGGTTTTAGCAGTCCTACAAAGAAGGGGAATGGCTGGCGGAGACATGCTCTGGCAGCCACAGCCAGAGGTGGGACAGAAGAGGAGGAGAGGGGTCCAAGTTGCTTCATCCGAGGCCACGTTGTCTGGGTTCAGTTCAAGGGCAGAGCGTTGTTCTGTCCTCTTTGACCTGGACCCCAAATGCCTTTCTGCAGCCCAATACTTTGCTTTTCCTGTCTTCTCCTGTTGTTGCATTAGACTGCTAGTGGTCATTAATCTTTGTTAGTTTGGAAGGAGAAGATCATGAACAGTTTATTTCCTTTCTGATTTGGTAGATTAGTGACTTGCAGCACTCTTCACGTGGATGTGAGACCATTTTCCTCTGGTCCACTGCAAAGATTTCACACCCTAATGAAATTCTCAGTGCACGTCCTCACAGCGTATAACTCCTGGGGTAAAATAAAGTCTCTTCCAGAGATGCCGAGTGGTACAGCGGGGCTGCTGTTGCGATGTTCCCTCTCTGGTCCTGTGTCCCATCTCCTCTGAGGGACAGGCTCCCAGTGGTGTTTCCCCAGGAGCTTCCCAAGCTTGTGGGAGGGAAGCTGCGAACCAGCTGAACCTGCACAGTTCCATCATGTGCAAGTGCACAAGTGCTGCATGCGAATGGCTTGAGACCAGTGCTCTCGAGGAGGTGTCAGCTAACGTCTTCCATCAGCTGCTGTCCTCCTGCGGAGGCACAGAAAATGCTGATGCCTTGCACCCTGCACGGCACCGGCAGAATAGGAATCTGCTGTAAGCAATTTAAAAACAATATTCCCAATCAGGGGAAGTGCTGCAGCCTGCCTTACTTTTCAAATTGCTCTAAAATCTGCTTCGGAGAAGGAAGTAGGAGAACTGTACATGGAAGAAAATTTCCATAAGAACCTGCGGTTGTCACTATTTTAGGTATTTTTGTTGCTTCACAGGGAAAGTTGGGCTCTATTTAGGGGAAATTACTGTTACCCATACTGAATAGTGTACTTCTGCTGGGTTACATGCACTTTTTTAGCCTGCTCATTCTACTTTTGCTCAAAGGATCTGTCCTTACTTACTCAAGCCTTCTTGCTGTAAGCGATAGATCTGTGTGTACAAGTGTTGTTTGGAAAATAAGGGATGCAGGAGTGAGCTCTTTAATTGAATGGCTCTTTTTATCATAATGAAATGTACAGTGCCTGGGCAGAAAGCCATCAGCCCTGAGGAACATGCAGCCAACATACTACAGCACGACCCGAGTTACGTAAGTCCATCACACTCATCCTCCCTGCGCTGGCTTCCCACAGAGGTGCCGGTCGGGTTTGAAGTCGTCTAGGTTGCTCCACCCTTGGGCCAAAATATAAGAAAAAGCCTTGAAAGGGCCTGATGGTTCCATTCCCCAAAGGTCTTGGGACGTTTTCCTTCCAAAATTAAAGGCCACCCAAGCCAAAACTCTGGAAAAACCTTCCACAGAAACCATCACAGAAAACCTTGACTTTTTTCTTGTCTGCATCAGAAGCATGTCGTTCACCTTGCTTCCTCTGCCAGACACAACAGCCCAGACGGGGAGCACCAAGGCCTCGTGAAAGCAATTCACTGCACTTACCTTCTCCTCTTCTGACAAGAAGGAAAAGAGAGAATGAACGAGATGTGACGTGTTTGTCATGTTGCTTAATACAGGACTTGGAGGCCCTCAGGTATTGCGGTGATGAGGCAGTGATAGAAGCAGCTCAGAAAGGTCCATGGTGCATTTTAGAGCTGCGCTGTGTTGCAGGCTTGTGAAGTGTCTCTCAGATGCCAACGTCGCTCTCACTGAGGTCGTTCACACCGCAGCTGCTCGGGTACTTTTTATTGTAAGAGAAACAGCCATGGGTAAAGGAACTAGGTCAGCCAACACAAGCTAAGATTGCTCCCTGAAGTGTCCCCCAGACCTGAAGTTTTTGGGTGTTTTGCACTGGGTGCTGCCGAGCAACTGGGCTGTGCTGAGCCTCAGTGCTATAAAGTGTGAGTGTGGTAGCAGGGAGGTTTACCCCTGTGTATCCTAACACTTCTGTATCTCAGAGGCTCTAAAAATAGAGCTGCAGCTCTGAGTGTCTGCGGTCAGTGAGAAAGAGCTGAAAGCAGTTCTGAAAACAGGCAGGATTGTCTTAGGTTAAATTGCAGCTCTTCAAACTGCTCTAAATTCTGGTTTGCCATCATTACGGAGGCTGCCTGAGGTACAGAGGACTAAATTTCTCATACTTACTCTCAAGGGGAAAAAAAAAAAAAGGAAAAGAAACACATTACATTTGAATAGCCAGATTCACTGGAAAATGTCCATTCTTTGTGACAACCCTGTGTCTGGGGAGCTGGAAAGGAGAGCCTCGCAGGGCCAGGGAACCATGTCAGACATCTCCTTTTTGCTTAAGAGTGACTCCTGGAGTTGTTCCCTGTATTCCCCTGTGTGCTCGAAGTGCCAGCCCTCAGCTGAGACGCTTGGGCTGCAGACACTGGAGGCAGGGGCAGCTCCACACCTCGCTGCTGGGCTCCATGCCTGGGGCTGGCACCCGCACACCTCGTGGAGAAGGACAATCTCCCAACCAGGGAAGGATTTCCAAAAGCACCGGTCCAGCTCATCTGCCATCCAGTTCTGTGAGAGATTTGCTCTGCTACTGCAAATCCAGCAGTTTTAGAGAATAAGATGTTCAAAAACATCATAGTGCTTTTGGAGCTTGAATGGTGTTTGTAGATCTTGAAAGAGGCAGGGTGGGCAGTGAAGGGTACCAAGCAGTCAAATTGGCCGTGTGTGAGGGGTTTGGCTCTCGGGCTGGCATTAACTGCTTGTCCCTTTTTCCTTCTCAGACTCCACGTTGGATTCCTGACATTTTAAGCACAATCCCTTCATGTAAGGATTATCTGCCTCAGCACGGGTACTGAGGATGGCACAGTTCTAGAGAGAGCCAGACCTGAAATAGCAAGGGTTATTTCAGATCAGGCTTGCAGTGTATTATTAGTAGTGCTTTTAATAAGTTGTGTAAGAAAAAGCCTTTGTATTATGCCCTAACCCGCAAATGCCTCTACATAATATCCGAAATCCCAGGCCAAGCAGGATTTTATTGCTTTTTGTGCTGGATCTTTATTCTTGCAGATATTGGAGGGTTTTACTTCCCTGCCTGTTATCTTGATGGCTGCCCTCTGCAAAGCCCAGAGGGTGAAGTGGCTCCTGCACATCTCCAGCAGCGCCCTGCCAGCTGCTGCGACTTTGATGCTGCTGTTTCTGCGGCCAAAGAGCGAGGTGACCGAGGGGCTGGGAACTGCATACAAGGTCTGGTGACAGAACCCCTGTCCTACAGCATCCAGCAAGGCTGCTGGATATATTTAATCACTGACCTGTGCCTGTAGCAGTGCTCACGGGCTGTACCAGTGATTCATCTACTTACGGTACCGCAATTCTCTGACGTGAGCAGAACGAAAGAAAACAAAGACCAAAACAACAAGGAGGTCCTACGTGCCTTGTAAACAAACACTGCATGGTCACCTGGGCATACTTCAGCATGGAGATAAGTCTTGTTTTCCCCATGTGTACAGTGGTGAAAATCAGGTGCACCTGCTTGGAACTCAGTGCTGCTCCCCTGGCTCTGGCCATGGTCTCATTCTGAGCTTAAATCTTCCTCCTTGCTGCGTGACCTCATCAGGACTAGTGCAAGTGTTGTGCTCAGAGCATGAAAAGCTTATTATTTTGTGTGGAGCTTAGTATTTTGGGAGGAAAAAAGATCACTCTTTATTGCCTCGTTTTTATTTCATGCATTTTTCTTATGTATGTGCTGTGGGGCGGTGCTGGAGAGAGGACAGAGCTCTTCTGACACCATGTCAGAATAAAGCAATATTTTTGGTAAACTTTTAAACCTCTCCATCTCTGCCCCCTTCCCTTCCCTTGGCTATTGTGCCAGGAGACAGGAGCCCTGCTTTACCTTTGCCCTTGCTGCTCCCCGATTTGCTTTCAGGGTGCCCTGGTGGCTTGGCTGCTTCTCTCTGCTGCAGCAGGCTGCCCTGGTTTGGGTCCCTACACCAAGCTGATCTCTTGATCAGTGTCTTAGCCTCAGCTCGGTGTGCAGCATCCAGCAGTTTGCTGTCTGATGGCGAGCAGGGGCAGGACCACAGCTCATCTCCACGATGCCATTCAGAGCCGGTTCCCTTCTGGGAGATGGGCGCAGGGCAGCCAAATGAGAAGTCCTGCAGGAAGGGAGACTGCAGAGCAGGGATGCCCTCTCTCTCTGCAGCAGGGGAAAATCAGGGCTTTTCTTGCAGGAATCCCCTGCCTCAGGCCCCGCAGTTTGAAGGGAGGCTCAGTGGCTTTGCGTGGAGTAGGAGCGTGATAAGAGCATTGTGCTGCAGTCGGTGTTTGGTCGCCGCGGCTGGCTGGGAGATGCCGTGAGCACTTCCCCGTGGTGAAATCAGAACGGTCCTTTAGAGATGAGCTCTCATGTATAAATGACAAATAAACATCCTGTGTGCTGTAGAACAAATTTAACTCTGCTAAACTGAAGGGGTTTATATGAATGTGTGCAGGAGCAGAGCCCCTGATTCCCATTGTGCATCCCCCATGCAGTGGGTGACTCTCAGACGGG